TATATAAAAACTTCAAAGGATATATATATATATCCTTTGAAGTTTTTTTTTCCACTGAGTCAGTGGGATCATCATCATACACAGTGGCATCTTCTATGCATCTTTTCCCACCTTAATTCCTCCAGAACTTATTGCTTGTTATTTTCAGTAGTTTCTCTAAAGCTACAGTCCTTCTTTTGTGCCTTGAGCTGCCTACAACTGGACAATAGAAGTTGACTCTTCGGGTTCCCCACATCTCTTAGCATGATTTACTGGCAAATTTTAAAGAGAAACCATGTGGGGAGGGTGATGAGAATCACAGAAATGCTTGCTTGACACTCAAGCTCCTGAACTAAGAATATCAAAGCTTTGCCTGGCTCCCAGCTGACTAAAACCTTGCTCCTAGGAAAACGTCATGCTCTTCTGACTCTCTTCATAGAAAGCTAAGGTATGTCATCCAGATTCAGTTTTTTTCTAGCTCACACCTGACAATAGGTCTTGATACTTCTTTCGACTTTCCTTTTTTTCTTTTCCTACAGTATTCACTACAAGGGACTTAAAATCTTGAATCTCTTATTTGTGCCTTTTATGTATTTGTAAAACAGGCTAGCAAACACTGGCAAGTACCTAATTGTTAAATGACCGAATGTGGATAAAATCAATTAAAGAAAGGATAAAGAGTATACAAATATTATATTTACAGCTTATAGGACAAGTAGTGGAATCATAGTTTATTCTCACAGTTACAGTTAATATGGATTTGAGAAAATACACATTAAAGATCAGATAAGTTTTTTGGTTTTTGTTTTGTTTTTTGTTTGTTTGTTTTCCTTTGAAGTGCTTCTTGAAGGGCCTGAATGCCATTTTGTTCATTCAGGAAGGATGTTGATTCATGTTGTCAGTGGAAACAGAACTTCTCTCCTTGGTTACTTCAGATGCACTTCTCACCTTGCCCCAGCCTTCTGCTTTTCCCCAGAAGGCGGACACATTAGTCAGAGTCAAGTGGCTGCTTGACCTCCAGCTGCTGACTACATTGTGTCAAGGGGAAGTTTAACAGCAGATTCCCAGAAGGAAGAAGAGTTCATCTCCATATGAACCTCCACATTAAGCACTCAAAAATGAAATTAGATGAGTGTAGTCTTAGAATGCTTAGAATGTGTTTAAAGGAATTAATATAAGCAAACAAAAAATGTTTAGATCTGTTGGGTGAATTTTTTGACAATAATATAATCTCTTATATTTACACAGTATTTGTCATCTGCTATTGTTTTGAGGATCCAAAATATTTTAGCTCTAGAGTTACCCAAGTTCAAGCTCCACTATAATTCAAGGGATGGAGAATTTGAGGAAAGTTCCAGAAAAAAAAAAGCAAGAGGAGCTATGGGAGGCAGAAAAAAAATGTCTATTAACTCCCTCATTTTGAAGATGTCTACATCCTAATTCTCAAAAAGGAAGTGCTCCATTTCAGGATTAAGGGAACATTTGTATCTGGAATTACCTTTACATTGAATTCACTCAGGTGATATGACAATAAGATTGTTCTGTATTAGGCTGCAGAGATGGCTCAGTGGTTAAGAGCACTGGCTGCTCTTCCAGAGGACACAGGTTCAATTCCTAGCACTTACATAGCAGCTCACAACTGTCTATAACTCCTATTCCAGGGGCTCTGACACCCTTACAGACATACATGCAGGCAAAACACCAATATATATAAAAATTAAAAAATAAGTAAATTTAGCTGGGCAGTGGTGGTACATGCCTTTAATCCCAGCACTTATGAAGTAGAGGCAGGCAGATCTCTGTGAGTTCCAGGCCTGCCTGGTCTACAGAGCAAGATCCAGGACAGGCACCAAAACTACACAGAGAAACCCTGTCTCAAAAAAAATGAGGAAAAAAAAGATTGTTCTGTATTACCTGAGTGAATTCAGTGGAATCACAGTTGTAAGTAAAAACTGAAAACAAATAAAAAGTAGGCGAGTTGAAGGAAATACATTCTGAATGAATAGCCAGAGAGATGCAAAATCAATCGTTGGCTTTGATGATGAAGAATGAAGGCCACTTGCTAAAAATTGTAAGTGGTACCTAAACTGGAAAAGGGTAAGAATGTACACAGATTTTATTTTCCTCACAAGCATTCAGAAAGAAATGAAACCACATCAGCAGCATGATTTTATCCCAGGGAGCCTGGATTTGAACATCTAATCTCTAAATTTATAGAAGAGGCAATTCTTATTTGTTTAAGCCACTGATTGTGTTGACATGTCCTAGCAGCAGTAGAAGACAAGTAAGAGTTTTACTGGTTTGCTTGAGTGTAATAACAAAACACAAGCCTGGAGGGCATAAAAACAGAGGTGTGTACTTCGCTGGTCTAGAGGTAAAGTCAGGTCAATGCCTCAAGAGATTTGGTTTCACCCAAAGTCTCTGCTTTGGTTTTCCACCATTTTTTTTCTGTGTTTTTATATATTATTATTCTATGTATATGTGAACTTAGTGAATATTTATGTGTAGCACATGTGTGTGTTAACCAAATTTCCTCTGTTTTTAAGGACATTGTTCAGATAGGATTAAGGTCTATTTGGTTAGTTCCCACTTTAAAGGTAGGTCCTGTCTCATATGTGAGGTATGTGCTAATAAGTTAACTGTGACCATTTGTCCAGTAAGAACACATGCAAGAGGCTGGAAGGTTGGCTCAGTGTTTAAGAGAACTTGTTCTTGCAGAGAAGCTTGGCTTGGTTCCCAGCACCAACATGGTGACTCACAGAAGAGGGAAGTCTGATACCCTGTGCAGGATCCAGAGATCCAGACACACATGTACATCTATGTACATGCAGGTAAAACACTCAAAGACATAAAATAAAAATAAATTAAAAGACATTGGGATACTTAGTCCTAAATTGGGTGTGTTTACCATACCCTTTACCTCAAGGTTCAGACATCTATGTGGAAGAAGATGCAGAAAAATTGTGTAATCTAGAAGTAGTGGATGACTCCTAGAAAAAAAAAGCAATTTTCCAGACACATCATGGCTAGTGCACATGTGAACCCACAGAGAATATGGCAGAGTACGTAAGACCCAAGCACGTTCAAGCCAGAGAAGGGAAAGGGGTCGCAGATCCCATCATTAGCTGAGAAGCTATTTGCAAATAATAGCTGCTGGAAGATGGAAAACTACTTTCTTTGACTGAGTGTCACTGGGAAAATCAGCTACACTCCAAGGCAAGCCCCATGCTCAGAAGTCATTGCACAACACAAACTAGACCCCATGTTTTTGCTGTGGCATTTTGTTTTGTTTTATTTTTGTTTTGTTTTATTTAAAGAGAGAGAAAGACAGGAAAGTGAGAGGGAAGGGAGGTGGAGTAGATCTGGGATAGTTAGGAGGGGGAGAATATGAACAAAATATACTGTATGAGCTTTTCAAATAATACATAAATATATTTTAAAGATTAGCAATGGCATTGGGATTTCAGAAGTCATATAATTAGGTGTGCTAAATTTTCACCCATATCTATGTCTGAGGAAACTGTGGACCTATCCTGAGATTGTTTTCCTTAAGCACAAAATCAAAATGAATAAAAGAAGAGCTGTTCTTTTCAATTGGCAGAACCCACATTGGTCTGCTGAGGTGACAGTCCTCCTGGTTGTGGAGCCAAGTTGAAGGCACTGAAATGCTTTCTCTAGGCAGAGCACAGGACAAAAGACAGTAATCATTCTGTGCTGCTTCTATACAAAGGTAAGTAACACGGTAGGCAATGAAGTATTTCCTGTTCTGAGGCGGTCAACTGGATCCTTGGGGTGTGGGAGAGTGCCCTCTAGTGGCATTTGTATAGAAAATAAATATTTTGTGCTATTGTCCATTTAGAGTTTCATAAACAAGACATTCTATCAAACTCACCATGTGAGAACAAGAAAGACTTGATTGTGTACCTTATGGCGCTTTCCTCCTGGGGATGAACTTCAGTCATCAT